CCTTCCAGCTTTCTTTCTTTCCCATCTCCTTGTGACAGATGAGTGTGGTCAGAGGTCATGTGTTTGTAATTAGGTGAGCCCTGCCTCAGCACTCGGCCCTGTTTCCTGTTTCTAATCTACAGGGGGAACAGACTGCAGTTCAATCAGCCCCGAAAACAGCTGTTAGCCTCAGGCTCAGCCTTCGAATGCCACAACTTAAATAAAACTGTCTTTAACCTGTCTTCACAGTCTCATAACATTTATCAAAACCTTCTCCTCCACCACACCGGCTCCACACACTGATTTCCTTTTGCTTTGCCTGTTACATAACTGCAGAACGACTAAGACACAGGAATGCACAAGGCTCCAGAAATGATACACTCATACTGATAACGAGCCCCATTTTTTATGTCCTTTGCTTTTTTTTTTAGATTAACTATTTCCAGCATCTTTGGGCCTGGTTCCAACTCACTTTGCTCTTCAGGTGGTTCTCGTTACGCTGGTTTAGTCTTTGTGGATTTTTCCAGCCTTCAGTGGTTTATTTCTTCTAAGTCTGTCAGCATAAAAAAAAGTTTAGGGAACCAACATCAGCCGTGACAGAAGCAGTTCATCAACGGATTTACGTTATATGGGAATTTTTTTCTTTTTGATTATTATTTGAGCGCAAACAAATAAAAATGGACGACGGTACCTAATGAGTAGCTCTCTTCTTTGTCTTTTTTTTTTTACAATTTTACACAAAATGGTACTATTTTCCTCTCCACTGAGGACTGGTGTAATTCTTGTATGCAATACATGAAGTCATTGATGTCATTAAATGACTCAAATTTAGCTGAAGCAGTTAGCATCATCTACAACTGCCAAAACACACAAAGATCCATCCTCCAAATTGCTCACAGGTGTGGAAATTAGAAGCCACTGCTGCTTTTTCATGGATTTTCACAACACAGGGTGTTTTTAGCATCATCTGTTTATTTTGAATGTCTCTCCTGTCACAAGACACATGGTACCAGCAAATTCAGCCCAAGGTCAGGCTGTGCAGTGCTCACAGAAACTGAAAAAACAAACAAACCAAGATCTACGTCTCAGCTCTACGGTCTTTAGTTTACAAAGTTCTTCTAGAAGAACAATGTCTTTTGCATGTCTCCACTTTGGACATTTGGACCAAGTGGTGATATTTGGCCATAATGCACACACTTGATGAAATCTAAACACCACAGATCAACGCAAACACCTCACACCAACGATCAGCACAATGGTGGAAGGGTGATGGTTTGGGCTTGTTTTGCAGTCACAGGACCTGGGCACCTTGGAGTCACTGAGTCAACCAAAAACTCTGTTTACAAAAAATGTAGAAATGTAGAATTGCATCATCGTCTGGGCCGGCAGGTTGAATTTCTTCAGCTGCCTCAGGAAGTACATCCTCTGCTGGGCCTTCTTTATGACGGA